GTGTGTGTGTGTGTGTGTGTGTGTGTGTGCGTGAGTGCGTGCGTGTGTGCGCATGAGTGTGTGTTTCTGTGTGTGTGCGTGCGTGTGTGTGTGTGCGCGTGAGTGTGTGTGTGTGTGTTTGTGTGCACGTGCGTGCGTGAGTGTGTGTTTGTGTGTGTGTGTGTGGCGCGTGCGTGCTTGAGTGCGTGTGTGTGTGTGTGTGTGTGTGTGTGTGTGTGTGTGTGTGTGTGTGTGTGTGTGTGTGTGTGTGTGTGTGTGAGAGTGTGTGTGAGTGAATCCTGACGTCTCTGTTCCGTGTGTTTCTGCAGGTTTAGGTAGCTGATGAATCATGGAGAGGCTGGTGTTTTATGTGCTGGTGTTCGGCGCACTGGTGAAGGCTCAGCATTGCCCGGGCCGCTGCATCTGTCAGACCATCTCGCCCACACTCACGCTCCTCTGTGCCAAAACCGGACTGCTGTTCGTGCCGCCGAGCATCGACCGCAAGACCGTGGAGCTCCGGCTGACCGACAACTTCATCACCGCCGTCCGCCGAAAAGACTTCTTGAACATGACGAGCCTGGTGCATCTCACGCTGTCCCGCAACACCATCAGCCAGATCGCGCCGCACGCTTTTGTGGGTCTGAAGTCTCTGAGAGCACTGCACATGGACGGGAACCGACTGACGGTCATCAACAGCGACCAGCTGCAGGGATTGATCAACCTGAGGCACCTGATCCTGGGCAATAATCAGATTCACCACATCGAACTGTCCTCCTTCGACGAGTTTGTCTCCACCATCGAGGACCTGGATTTGTCCTACAACAACCTGAGGACGTTACCGTGGGAAGCCATCGCCAGGATGACCAACATTAACACCTTAACGCTGGACCACAATCTGATCGACCACATCTGCGTCGGGACCTTCACGCTCCTCACCAAGCTGGTGCGACTGGACATGACGTCCAACCGTCTGCAGACGCTGCCGCCGGACACGCTGTTCCAGCAGGCGCAGGTCCTGTCCGACCCCAAAGCCTCCAGCTCCTCCAAACTGACGGTGAGCTTCGGGGGAAACCCGCTGCACTGTAACTGCGAGCTGCTCTGGCTGCGGCGCCTGACGAGGGAGGACGACCTGGAGACCTGCGCTTCTCCTGAACTCCTGATGGACAGGTACTTCTGGTCCATTCAAGAGGAGGAGTTCATCTGCGAGCCGCCGCTCATCACCAAACACCAGGTCAGCAAACATGACTGTATGAAAATAATTCCATAAAAAATCTGTTTCTATAAAAATATTTACTATAAAAAATTATATAGGCTGTTTTTTTGTTTGTTTTTTTTAATTACACAAATAAATAAAAATTAATATACTTGCCAGCAACCCTCCAAAATAAAAGCTTTCTGATTTGTTGATCTGAAAATGTTGATAAGTAAATAAATGTAAATATTAGCATTGTATTTTTAAGTATACTATAAAATATTGTATTTT